TGATGGTAAATTAATGTAGTCTAAAGGGAGTATTGGAACTAACAACAAGAGATATTTCAATATCAGATCTCTTATTCTAATTTAATACTGCGTTATATTCAATTTATAATTGAATGTAGATTTTTATATGATCATACATATCGTCGTTGAAACATGGAAGGTGTTCAAATAGTACAATTATTATTACCATATACAAATTATTTATTGCCCATTATCGCAATCATTTATGCGATAAAAAAAAGCTTTAACCAAATTATTAAGGTAAGTGGCACAGAAATTATACATAATTACAGGTTGTAATTGTTCGTTTTCATTAATTCAAATTATGGAGAAGCACTTTGTTGATATTCTTATCAAGAGTATGTTTACATGTTACATGGTTTAGAAAAAAGACAATTTAGGTGATGGACTTTTTCACAATTCCCTATAACGTAACGATGCAAAGTTAAATAAACAATACAAAATCTGATATTGAAAATGAAATTTTGTACCGATATTTAAAGCAGCAGTTCGGAATAACGTATTATAAGATCGTATTTATTTGTTCAAATTTCAATGTCGAACTAATCTCTTGAAAAAAAAACGTTACACATGAACGAAGAGAATATAAATTATTTTTCTTATTTCACATTTCTTCATCTCCGATCAGGTCTTATTCCGTTTGCCATACTTTCCCGTTAATATGAGATACACTTCTAAAATTAATAGGATAGAGTTCCTCGGCTATATATTTAAGTTGTTTTAATAGCAATTACCTGGATTATAATTTTTTACAATAAATCACATAATTGTTTAAAAATTTACGTCATAAATCGCGTCAAGATTTGAAACAGTTAACGGCTACTTCAAGGCCAATTTCGACTGTTATATATATATTCATACAGATGCAACGAATAAGACTTCTTTTTCTGAAACGTTTCAAATTGAAGCATCTTTCTACAACGCGATCGTATAAGATCAAGGACTATAGAACATTTTCTTTATTGCTTTTGTCAAAGATTTTGTGATTATAAAAATATCTTTGAATGTTTCGATTGTGGTTGGAAATGAATATTTCTCTTGGCACGTATCGTATATTAACTCTTGCCTTGTTTCGGTAATTTGAAATAAATTGTTTGTATTTATGCTTAGGTAGATATTTCCTTGAATTTTAAGCGAATGTAATATAAATTTATTATATTATGCTAATATCAGAGTTAGATCTCAGTTTAGAAACTAATGTGTTGTATTTTCTGTTTTTGTTTGTGATAGTATTTTCCGATGTAGTTTTACAAAATATTTTATATAAATTCCGGGAGTAATTCTAATAATTTGCTGTCTATAAAGTGCTTTGATCAATGCTTTATACGTTTAAAATGAATATGTATTTAAATGTAACAAAATATCAATTTAATAAAATTACAAAATTATTGTTTTTAGAGAGATATCAGTAGTGCAGAACAGAAAAATTCTATTTCGAACAGTAAAGAAGATGCAGAGAAATTACAAGATATAATGGAATTAAAGGAACAAATGAAGCCAGAGTATTATTTTAAAGAAGATTTTTTTAAATTACTTCCTCAACTAGAACAAAATTCTCCACATGAGTTTGGACAATTTGGCCAATATGTATCATTAGAATTAAAATGCTTAAAATTCGAAGAAAATAAAGAAAAATTAAAGAACGAAATAAGAAAAATAATAGTACGGATTGCAGAAGAAGACACTAATCATTTATTAAATGATACTTCTGCCACCGCACAAGCTCAAAATCATGTTGTTAATTAATAACTTGATTAAGTGAATTAAAATTTAAACGAAAATTAAAAAACAGTAGAATATTCATAAAAGTATACTCGAAAATAAAATATTTAACTTGAAAATGCTCCCTTTTAAACAAATATATGATACTAAAGCTAAATAACAATAAATTATAATAAATTTAATGAATATTTTTGTAATTATAATCTTTGATATTGTTTAGACCAATAATAACTTTTATACGATTAATTGTTTAATTATCATATATCAAAAACTATTCGTAGAAATATTGAGTTGATCGAAGAGTACGTTGCAATTTACATATATATTTGATCGATGTATATCTTTTTATCTTACTTTTATTTTTGAAAATAAAAATATATAAATTATATATTTTTAAGGAAAAATTTGTATTACATTATGTGTATAAACATTTTGTTTTGAATCTTATTTATAGTCCTTACCAAATTGCTATAATGCTATTATAAACAATTAAAATGTAGGACCTAAAGCAAAAAGATACAGTTGAGTAAAGAATTGATAAATCTGGGAGCAACTACCTTATTTGGATAAATCACATTACTAAAGACTGCGTAATGGAAATAAAAAATCGCCCAACAGATCTGTTTTACTCGGAATCGGCGAAAAAAAAAAGAAACATTCCTGTAATTATTGTAAAATGTGCAAGTATGCATCTAACCTACTAATCTAAATCTAAAATACTGGCGTAAAGAAATAAAGGGCGAAGCATTTGTTCTGCAAAAGCAAATGAAATAGATCATCTAATAGAGGGCAACTTTGTCTATAAAATGATTTGGATTTAATCGGGTTCGGGAAATAATAACGACATTACGTATAAGCAATATTTATAAATATGAAGAGAACGAATAGGAAGAAAAGTATAGTTGAGGCACGTAATGGCTGCGGCTACGCGTTGCGGCTACGCGTTGCGGCTACGCGTTGCGGAAGAGAACTTGGACTGACTAGTAAGAAAGAAGGAAAACAACGGCGCGGTTCTAGCACCCGCTTGTGCTATCCTTTATTGTGCTATCCTCTATTGTGCCATCCTCTATCGTTACTAGCGGGAACTGGTTGAGACGTCACAATATAATATGAGAATATATAACACTCAACGTATTTACCGCGCTACGAAAAGGTTTGTCGAACAGTCTCTTGAATGTCATACATTTTAAATAAGAAATACTCATTAGTAAATACGTAATTACTGAAAACAGCAATATATATTTAAATATTAGATAATTTATTCTAATTTCACTCTAGATCGCATTTTCAATCCGTAATTGATTATTCATTTTTATCTTACCATATTTGTTTAACAATATGGAATGTTTTGGAATGTACGAATTATTAGTGCAGTTTTTCTTCTATTTATTTTCAACTATCTTAAGCTTTTATATTATAAGAAAAATCGATAACTTAATATTTAAGGTAAGTTGTATAAAAATCATAGATTATTAGAGAAAGTAATAGTTCGTTTTCATTAGTCTCATATTAATTATAAAGTTATAATACGATATTCTTATCAAAAGCACATTATTGTGTCGCTTGGTTCCGGAACAAGAGAATTTTGTGGAAGACGTGTTCAGAATTCTTTGTAACGTAATAATGTAAATTTTATTGAGAAAGACATAATCTGATCATATAACTGTCATTGTTTATTAACACTTTGTTGACTGGAAGTTTTTCTCAGAATTATATGTGGAATAAAAAAATGTAAATAAGCTTTTTTATAACAGTTTATTATATACATGAATTTTATTTAATAATTAATTTTTAATATTTCTTTTTTTTGGTATGATTAGCCATGTATCAATACACGTAGGTGATTGCTACCTACGTTTCGTTGCGTTTCCCTTTTGAAGAACATACTTTACACGATCTAGTCAAATTTGTTGTTCTCTCAGTAACTATTTTGTCTGAAACGTGGTTTCTTAGCTGTCCGGAAAGTCTCTTGGGTGGATATCATTGTGTTTTAACGTAATAACAAGTTTGATTAGCTAAATATTAGTTAAAAAGGCTTGTGATGTGCTAAAATACAATTGTGAATGCATTGATTGTAACATCAGTAATTGGTTTTTTCATTCGTTTTTGACGAAATTGCATGATCTTTTACTTTAGTTGCCCGTAAAGCTTCGTTACTTTCACACGTTTCAAATTGATATTGATTCATTCATTATCTACTCTTTGAAATAATAAATTATTTTTTGTCAACTGATCAATTGATTATGATTACACCCCAGACGTCTTAAAATGACTATTTGTACCTAAAGATTGTTTATTTTTTCACAAATCCTATCGTTTTATACATGTCATGAAAAGTATATATTTTGCGGCAGTTCGGGTATAGGAGTGAACAGTTGAATGGTACCGCGCGCCTTCTTTATTATGGCTCGCACAATTGGCAGATATCGTGTAGGCCAAGGGGTTAATGGACATTAGACAGCAAGTTTGAATAACGTAATATAAAATCATATTTATTTGTTCTAACTTTAATCTTGATCAACTTTCTTTAATAGAAAACTAGAGTATATCATATAGTTTTCTTATTATTTCACGTGAATTATTACTTATCAGGTATTACTCGCGCTCCATCCTTAGCTTAGTTATATTTGGTTTGTACCTGTGATCTTGTCTGGCATGAGATCGTTTTCAAACATATTTTTTTTCTACCAACATGCGTAATTTTGTTAAAAAATAGCTAAAAAATTTGCTAGTCTTTGCAGAGCTCACAAAAATATTTTGTTGGCTTAAGACTATTGATTATTTAAATATAATAAATTATCACGAAATAAGAATAAAAAGTGTATTATTGTTTTTAGAGTAAAGTCATTATGGAGGAACCGAAAAATGATTTTTCATGCAATATAAAAGATGAAGCAAATGCCATAGCATCGGCGAATAAATTATCTGTTAAGAAAAAACGAGATGATTATTTTACAGACGATTTTTATAAACTTATTTCACATATCCGTCCACCAAAGCAGGATTATTTTAAACATTTTGGCAGATACGTATCTATGACATTGAATTGCATAAATTCTGAATCATATAAACAAAAATTAATACATGAAATACACGAACTAATTGGAGAGACTGTACAACTTGATATAGAAGACTTTATCAATAATACATCTCCAAATGAAGAAAATCCAAACCCTGTTGTCGAGTCAGCAACAGATTATATCAATAAGAATTTGAATAAAATAAAAACTGATCTAATATAATAATATACAGTATAATATGTAAAAATTTATGTTAATGATTAAAAAAATAAACTTATAAAAGCACGCTTTAATATACAAGTCTATGATTATTATTATTAAATATTATTAGCAACTCGAAAGCTCATTGCTGTAAATACCAAATCCGACAATGTTCCTGTCTCTGTAAAAGATCTCTTCATTGATAACCCTAATATTCAATTTCATTGAGAATAATATTGTCTTCCTACCTAAGAAACCTACCTAAGACCCTTGGTCTATCTCCTATGGTTAGTATTTTATACGCGGTTCGATTCTTATTCACATACCTCAGGTTAATTCGATAATTAGATAAGTTCTAAACAATATTATATTTCATATTTTATTTATTTATGCTAATTTGTTTTCATTTCATTTGATATCAATATTTTTGTGTTTCTTTGTTGAATCAAGTGTTAGAATTTCTGCCAGAGCTGCTTCATTATGGTGCATCTTTTGTAATTGGAAGGATCATTGGATAGGTCTCGATCTGGTAAGGACTATAAATAAGATCCAAAACAAAATGTTTATTCACATAATGTGATAGAAATTTTTCCTTAAAAATATGTTATTTATATATTTTTCATTTCAAAAATAAAAGTAAGATATAAAGATATACATCGAACTAATATATATGTAAATTGCAACGAACTCTTCGATCAACTCAATATTTTTACGAATAATTTTTAATATATGATAATTAAACAATTAATCGCATAAAATTTGTTATTGGTCTAAACAATATCAAAGATTATAACTACAAAAATATTCATTAAATTTATTATAATTTATTGTTATTTAGCATTAGTATCATATATTTGTGTAAAAGGGCACATTTTCAAGTTTAATATTTTATTTTCGAGTATACTTTTATGAATATTCTACTGTTTTTTAATTTTCGTTTAAATTTTAATTCACTTAATCAAGTTATTACTTAACAACATGATTTTGAGCTTGTGCGGTGGCAGAAGTATCTTTTAATAAACTATTAGTGTCTTCTTCTGCAATCCGTACTATTATTTTTCTTATTTCGTTCTTTAATTTTTCTTTATTTTCTTCGAATTTTAAGCATTTTAATTCTAATGATACATATTGGCCAAATTGTTCAAACTCATTTGGAAAATTTTGTTCGAATTCAGGAAGTAATTTATAAAAATCGTCTCTAAAATAATATTCTGGCTTCAGATGTTTTTTTAATTGCGCTAGTTCTTTTAATTTCTCTGCATCTTCTTTACTGTACAAAATAGAATTTTTCTGTCCTGCAGTATTGATATCTCTCTAAAAAACAATAATTTTGCAATTTTATTAAATTGATATTTTGTTACATTTAAATACATATTCATTTTAAACGTATAAAGCATTGATCAAAGCACTTTATAGACAGCAAATTATTAGAATTACTCCCGGAATTTATATAAAATATTTTGTAAAACTACATCGGAAAATACTATCACAAATAATAACAGAAAATACAACACATTAGTTTCTAAACTGAGATCTAACTCTGATATTAGCATAATATAATAAATTTATATTACATTCGCTTAAAATTCAAGGAAATATCTACCTAGACATAAATACAAACAATTTATTTCAAATTACCGAAACAAGGCAAGAGTTAATATACGATACGTGCCAAGAGAAATATTCATTTCCAACCACAATCGAAACATTCAAAGATATTTTTATAATCACAAAATCTTTGACAAAAGCAATAAAGAAAATGTTCTATAGTCCTTGATCTTATACGATCGCTTTGTAAAAAGATGCTTCAATTTGAAACGTTTCGGAAATAGAAGTTTTATTCGTTGCATCTGTGTGAATATATATATATATAACGGTTGAAATTGGCCTTGAAGTAGCCGTTAACTGTTTCAAATCTTGACGCGATTTGTTTTGTTTTCGTTCTTATAATGTTAGCAACAGTTTCGTAATGATCATAGACTTCTTGTATAATAGTTAAAGCTATGATTCAACAGATTTTAAATTTGTAGGCGAAGGATTTTTCAACCTTGAATTCAAATTTAATATTTAAAAAAAATAAACTGATATATATACCATAAGTAAGAACAATTTAAGCAGAATAAACAGAAATTCAAACTGTTCGCTTATAATAAACAAGAAATTTTAATATACGGGATAATGGACAAAAATAAAAGTAGAATATTATAAAAAAATTATAATTGATTTTTCGAACAGATTAAAGCAGTTTCTGAAAATTGTCACATCAAAAAGTATTAAAACTTTTTTTTTAACATTTTCATGATTCAAAAACCTTAAATTATTCCGGTAAATAGATGTTATTATGTTATATATTTTGTTAAATAGATGTAAATGTAAATTGTCTTTTTTCTAAATCATGTAACATGTAAACATATTCTTGATAAGATTATAAACAAAGTGCTTCTTAATAATTTGAAACTAATGAAAACGAACTATTACAACCTCTAATTATGTATAATTTCTGTGCCACTTACCTTAAAAATTTGGTTAAAGCTTTTTTTTATCGCATAAATGATTGCGATAATGGGCAATAAATAATTTGTATATGGTAATAATAATTCCATTATTTTGACACTTTCCATGCTTCAACGTCGATATGATCACATAAAAATCAACGGTCAATTATAAATTGAAAATATAACGTAGTATTAAATTAGAATAAGAGATCTGATATTGAAATATCTCTTGTTGTTAGTTCCAATACTCCCTTTAGACTACATTAATTTACCATSAYCCTAGACATTTCATGTACATAAGATAAGATATTTACCAATGAGTCTTTCTTATTTACACGCGTGACATTTAACACACTATAGAAGTAAATAACACATTGTTCGTTGATGTTTACRATTTTTACGAAATCATTTTGCATGAAAAATTGTCTCGTATAACATGATCTTTTTCGTATTATTATTTGTTGAAGCATACAAGATTTTGTTTAAAATAAAAATGCTTTTATACCAAGACACATTATACAAAACATAATATTAAGTTTCTGAAATTTGTATCTTCGCCTAGATGARGATACAAACTAAGAAAAGCTCATATTTTTTATTTTAACTTATGCARCTATGATGATAATATTCGACAATTTCCTTAGCCGGCAATAGACATATAAACTAACAGAACAAAAGTAGACTAACAATAGGAAATATCAAAATTTGTAATTTGAATAGCTTTATTGTTTAAATTTATAGTTTTAAATTGTTATTTAGCTTTGGTATTATAAATTTTGATAGATGAGTCCATTTATAAGCTTACTTTTTTATTCGCAATTACATTTATCTGGATATTATACTGTATATTTTTATTTTAATTAACATTTTTATTGGTACAACCCATTTCTGACTCGACAAGAGGCTTTGGAATTTGTGCTTTTTTAGATGTATTACTTGATAACAGATTCGTATCCTGGCTTGCAATCTGTACGATTATTTTTCTTATTTCATTCTTTAATATTTCCTCATTTGGCTCGATTTTTAAGTATTTCAATTTCGATGATACGTATTGGCTATATAGATCAAAATCATTTAGCGTAAATTCACCGTATTTTGAAATGAATTCATAAAGTTCGTCTATAAGATAATAATCTAATATCTCCTTTCTTGGTAATTGCATCATGACTTCTCTTTCTTTCTCTTTTTGTGCATTGTTGTCCGAAATAGCATTTTTCTGTTTTTTAGCAACGAKTTTTTTCTACAAAAATAATACATAATTTTTATTTCCCCCCTTTATCGTAATAAATTAATATTTAAAAAAAAATCAGTAGTTTTAATTGTAAGCCTGAAAAATATTGTTCTATAGAAAAGTTTTCTTCAAATGTCTATCTGGTAAATTGCAAAGTATATGGGAGATAAATAAATAAAAAAAAAAAAAAAAGACTAATGAAAATGAACTATTAGACTTTTTCATTGTCTATAATTTCTGTGCCACTTACCTTATCAATCAGTTTACACATCTTTTTCATAATAAAAAAGATTAAACCAATGAAAGAAAAAGAAGATAAAAACTGCACTAATAATTTAAATATTAAAAAAGTTTCCATTTTTTAATATCAATATGGTAATATAAAAATCAACAATCAATTGTGGATTGAATGTGAGTAGAAAAAATTAGAATAAGAGATATGATATTGAAATATCTCTTGTTGTTAGTTCCAATACTCCCTTTAGACTACAT